CCTCATTGTTGGGGCGTGTGCAAGAACTCACACAGGTAGCCATGCTCCCACCTCGGTGAGTGTAACAGATATTCGTGCACATCAGAAAACCCCTCACTGCTGAGAAAGCACAAGAGTGTGATATATATGGGCAAAACTTTTACCAAATGGAAACACTCTGGCTAGCTCTTGGGCTGGGAGTACATGAATGTAATGTATGCGAACAATTCTTTTATAGGAAGTTGACCTCCACATTGGAGAATATGGCCAGAGCCCTGTAGGGATTTAGCTAGTCATGACTCATTTCTTTCCTGCCTCAACCCCAGGCCCTGAACTCCATTATCCCTGGATTTGTGTTCATGGCCTGGAAGCAGATAAGATTATCTTTGGGGAGAAGACGGTATAGAGAATGATTGGATTACAGACATGCTTTATTGGAGAGAGCAGAGGTTTTCTATGTGTTTAAAATCTCTTGTTTGTATGACTGATTCAGTCTTTTTGCAACATAATGCAAAATCTTTGGGACCCATTTTAGGAGTGTCTCAGACAAGGGACCGTCCATGTTAGAACACCCCCAGGAGAGGGCCCTCTTGTCACCTTTGTATTTTCAAGCCATTCTGTGGAGAAAAAGAAACATGAAATTTCAATAAAATTTAAATGGCACCAGCATTTCATTAAAGAGATACTAAAGTATGTTCATGTGTGAAACATGTTTATCCATAAAACATTGAAATTTGTAGTATCCAGTCATTCATAAAATGAAGTTGTCAGTTTCCAAGTGTTATAGTATGAAAATGACTTTTGTCCTAGGTGTGGTGGCACAAGTCTGAAGTGCCAGAATCCAGGAGGCAGAAGCAGTCAGATATCTGTAAGTTTGAGACCAGCCTGACCTACATAGAGAGTTCCAGCAGGGCTACATAATGAGACCCTATCTCAAAAACAAAGTCAGATGTCAGAGGATAACTATTTCTGCTGGAGCCTGATGCGGTGGTTTGGTCTACATTTGAGGACATTTGTGTTTCTCACAACCAACATTTAAGAGGTGCAGCTGGCACTAGTGGGTGTAGCTGAACTGCTGAGGACCCGCTGTCCTTTCCTGAGGAGGCCGGAACAGAGATGTGTACTTGGCCCAGATAGGGCACAATTCCGTCAGATTCCAGTCTGGTGAACCCAGAGAATTTGTTGAGGTTACAGGAGTATGGGAGAGAGGTTGCTGAGCAGGAACGGGAATGATTCTGCAGCTCCATCTCTGAAAAGCCCACCCCAGTGCGGGGATGACTCAGGAAAACTGGAAAATGCTCGCAGGAAACAAAGGAGGTCACATAGCAGGTCAGAGAGTCTTCCTTCCCCAGCAGTCCTTCCTGTTTTTATAAGCTTGGGAAGGGAACGGGCCTTGTGCGTATATGTTTTCAGAACTTGGTGAGACTTGGGGGTTTATTTCCTAGTCTTAATGAGCCTTCTTCCAGGGTGGGAATGTTTTAATTCAGAAGGTACTGATACATGTCAGGCCAACACACCCTGATATATGTAAGGGCTGTGCATATGATTTTATCACATTAGCAAATGTTCTCTGCATGCAGAGACATACAGGAAATACACTTATTATAATGTTTATTGTGATTTCATTAAGGTTTTCTACATTAAATATTATCCTAGCCTGTTTACATCTTGTAAGCCTCTAGTTTGTATTTTCTTAATCTTTTAACTTATAAGTGTTTATGGTGATTGTCACCAACTATTGATGTTTGTGTTTCTCTAACACGTGATGTCTTAAAGAGAGCCAGTGTTTCTAAGAGAATAAGCATCAGGGTAGAAAACCACAAATAAAGATATTTTTCACAGCTGTCTTGTGAATTGATTTGGAACTTTGTGAACAAATGGTGCTTGTTTCCCTCTGAGAGAAACCGTCTCGGAGTAAGTTCCTTCTCATTACTCTTTCTCATGCCTTGAAATCGGGCACCAGCATAGATCTGAGTGTGTGTCCTGCAGCTGGGCGATGTGTGTGTTTGCTCACAAGAATAGAACCCATTTCAGCTCTCGACATGGCCATGCCTAGCGTAGATTCTGTCAGTGCCGCCTAGTTAGTAGACAGCTTATCATCTCCACATAGCAATGAGACGCAATCTACCAGTGCATATTAATAATTTGATAGGAGGCCGCTGCGGAATGTTCTTTGACCACATAACACCCTCTTACACTTTGCCAAAGTGTGATTTGGCTTTGGTCTCTTCTGGATTCTACACAGAGATTTATCTCAATTGTACTTACTATAATTCGGTAAGATCAATCTTCCAATTTCTTTTAAAGCTAAGCATATGACCTAGCTCCATCTATTAGCATACTGGGATGGGATGGGATGGGAGTTCCAGAATACCCCTTAGAATAGTTCCAGGAGACATGGAGGAAGTCTGTCTTCTGTTACACACTGGTCACTTTAGCCCTCGTTTCTGATGGGTAATTTTGTCCCTCCGAATGTGGTTTCTGTGATTGTCATGATGCAAAGCTTTCCAGCTAGTGTGAATGATGTGGAGGACAAAAAACAGCCAATGAGGAAAAGGCTTTTTTGAAGGACTTGGGATAAATGGAAACATTAGTTTTCTGTTGGTAAATGAGCAACAGCCAGGTACTTGCCCAAAACAGGCTTTCTGAGCACAGCCCCAGGATTCAGAAGGCTGATTCAAAGTTGTACATTTGAAGCCAACATAGGGCGCACAGGGGCTCAGCCTGTCGGCTCACATGCTCTTGCACACCCACCCTCCATGGTTACAGAGAAGTCAGGCATCACTCCCACATCCTCCCCTAGAAGTAGCCTCACTGATCCTGGTGATACCCTGTTTCAACTCCCAGATTATAATTGGAGACAAATCTTAAATAAATGTGCAATTTTAAAAGGAAAAATAGTTATGTACATAAGGAAATACAAAATATGATCAGATTTTAAACTGTCCAGAGAATAATTTATTATAAGACAAAAATCTTTTTTCAGAATTAAAATTTTTTGAAGGGGACTTTTCCAGATGCTTGTAAAATCCCTTGGGGCATGAGTTTAGGAAGTTGCTGAGAATTCGAATAACAAGGGGGCTGTTGAGCCACTCTGCAGGTAAAGGCACTTACGGCCAAGCCTGAGCACCTGAGCCAGTCCCCAGGACCCACACAGTGGAAGAAAATAGACACACACAGTTGTCCTTTGACCTCCGCGGGGACCAAGGTACAAGCACACATATGTATACACAATGTGGCCTCATGAGTGGGACTGTGACTGGAGAAGCATTGATTGCTAGCTAATACAGAGGATTTTTGTTGTTGCTTTGTTTGTTTGTTTGTTTGTTCTGAGGAATGGTCTCTATGTTGCCCAGACTGTCTCCCGGAACACCCTATGTAGACCAGGCTGGCATAGGACTCACAGAGATCTGCCTGTCTCCTTGAGTACTAGTAAAGGCATGTAACACCAAACCTGGCATATTAGTTTGAACAGGCTGCACCGACAATGCATGTATGTTAATAGAATAAAATAAGAAATGGATATAAAAGTAGAGGAAACTCCTTGTATTATAAGTCATTCAGATTTTGTGTGCAACAAGTTTCATCTGTAAAACACTGAAGTCTAGTCTCCAAATTATTTAAATATATTAAGCTTTTTCCATGTTCCTGTTCTCTGAAATTAAAATTATTCATGATTTCAAGTATAAGGTCTGTGGGTAAGGGAGCACAGGTACAGGAGACTCCTGGGGTGGGATGGAGAAAGAACTCATTCAACAAAGTGCTTTCCTTACATGGTTAGATCCTCATCTGATTTAAAGCCCCAGCAGCGGTCATGGTGCGTTCCTGTAATCCTATTGCAGAGGTGAGAGGAGCCTTACCAGAGATTGTCAGGCAGCTTTTTGTCCATCAGTGGAGCCCGAGGCTCAATGAAAGACCTTATCACATGTACATTGGTTATGTTTTTGTAGCTTTGAAAAGAATAAGATGCCAAAACCAGAACGGAATGTGGAAAACTGGGGGAGGGGCACAGATAAGTGGCCGATGAGTTGTTGGTTACCAGCTTAGCACTGAATCTGAAATGAGAACTGTTGTTCACAGCTCTTGAATTTAGGTGTCAGCTGTGAACAATTTTGGGAGTTCATTTCTATATGGATAATATTTCTATTAGATAAGTTGGTAGCCTTTGTATTAGCTTCATAAGCTACAAAAATTTTGCTTAAGGAACAGTTAAATATCAATTTTCATGCATATTTATTTACACTAGGAGAAAGTGGGGAACGTTTATAGTACAATATTGGAGAAAACAGGTACGTGTGCTAAAATAGCATTTGATGGGGCTGGAGAGATGGCTCAGTGGTTAAGAGCATTGCCTGCTCTTCCAAAGGTCCTGAGTTCAATTCCTGGCAACCACATGGTGGCTCACAGCCATCTGTAATGAGGTCTGGTGCCCTCTTCTGGCTAGTTCCAGGACAGGCTCCAAAGCCACAGAGAAACCCTATCTCGAAAAAAAAAAAATAGCATTTGATGTAGAAATTTTTAGTTGATGCACGTATGAGTGGGTTAAAACCAGGGTCTCACAAATGTTACACTATACTTTACCACTGGGGTACACTCGTACCTCAGTCACTATCTAACAAAGGAAAACAAATACAAAGCAAACATATTTTCTACCATTAACCTAGGGCCCGCCAAAGGAATTTTCATTAATATAAAACACCCGAATATATGTGAATGAGGGAATGCTTTGTGAAATTCAGGCTGTTTAAAATGCATGTCTGGCCAGACAGTGGTGGCGCACTCGGGAGGCAGAGGTAGGCGCGTCTCTGTAAATCAAGGCCAGCCTGTTCTACAGAGCGAGTTCCAGGACAGGTTCCAAAGATACACAGATAAACCCTGTCTCAAAAACAAAAAAAATTATCCAAAAAGAAAGAAAGAAAAAAGCATGTCTGACCCCCATCTACTGCCTGCTAGTACCAACTCCCAGGCTCCAGCTCTAACAACCACAAGTGTTCCCAGACACAATGTACTCTGGCAGACAATAATGTCACTCATTGTTTATTGGCACATGTATTTCCATGTATTGGAAAGTCAATATTAAAATTACAAAGACTGGTAGTTTTCCTTCATTACAAACTGCTGACATGAAAGTTTTGTTAAAAGTTTCACACACTGACTTATCAACATTTAATTTATTCAAACTATTCAGTGAAATTTCTGATAAAGTAGTCTCAATTTGCTATGCAGTTTCCCTTGTGTACAAATTTTGAAATAGTAAAGAGCATGTAAGTTCTCTCAAAATTTTCATTAACTGAATTAGCTATGGAGGATTTGCATTCTTATCAAAACATCATGCACAATGGTTTGAGAAAGTGTTCCTCAACTAAACTAAGAGTATTTGGGATAAAAATGAGAACACCTCTTAAATTGGTGACTTTCTGACAATGGATGGCAAGGTCATCTCGCAGGTCATGCCACGTCAGGCCCAGAGATAATGAAAACTCAACTGAGGAGAAGAGTGTTTCTGTGTTCCTGGTGGAAATAACGACCACCGTATATATGCACTTTTCTGTAGGGCTGTGACATGGTCAGACAGACTACCTAGTGGAGACACAGATTTTCTCTGTTAAGGTGGCCAGCAAACAAAACACTGTCCTCACTCATCACATTCCTGGAGTAGCTCCTGCGCTTGGCTTGTCTGATGCCCGTTGATGGGTTCTGCTAAGAGAGCTTGCTGCCTTACACTCAAGGGCCTTCCCTCAGGTGAATTTTCTGATGCACAGAGAGGGATGACTTATGGTAGAATGTTTTCCTACACTTGAGACACTCAAACCGTTTCTCACTCTCGTGAGTTATCTGATGCCTGTTCAGGTAGGACTTCTGGTGAAAAGCCTTCGCACACACTTTGCACTCATAGGGCTTCTCGCCTGTGTGTGTTCTCTGGTGTACAGTGAGATGGGACTTGCTGTAAAACGTCTTCCTGCATTCTTCACAGGAGTACGGTTTATAGCCCGTGTGGCTCCTTTGATGGACAGTAAGGGAGGACTTATGGAGGAATGTTTTCCTGCACTCTTCGCATGCATACGGCCTGTTACCTGTGTGATTCCTCTGGTGCCTGCTGAGACTTGACTTCTGGTAGAAAGCTTTCCCACATTCTTTACATTCATGGGGTTTCTTACCAGTGTGAGTTCCCTGATGCATTTTGAGGTGTGACTTACGGTGAAAAGTTTTTCCGCACACACTACATTCATAAGGTTTCTCCCCGGTGTGTGTTTTCTGGTGCACAGTAAGGTTGGACTTCCGGTTGAATGTTTTCTGGCATTCTTCACATTCATATGGTTTGTCACCTGTGTGAATTTTCTGATGTATGATGAGGTGTGACTTGGAGTAGAATGTCTTTCTACATTCGTCGCACTCATACGGTTTCTCGCCTGTGTGGGTTCTGTGATGCACATTCAGGTCTGACTTACAGTAGAACGTTTTCCTACATTTCTTACACTCGTAGGGCTTCTCGCCTGTGTGGGTTCTCTGGTGTATGGTGAGGGACGACTTGTGGTAGAACGCTTTCTTACATTCGTTACATCCATAGGGTTTATCACCTGTGTGAGTTCTCTGATGCCTGTTGAGGTGGGCCTTACGGTAGAACGATTTCCCACACATATGGCATCCATAGGGTTTATAACCTGTGCAGGTTTTTTGATGCCTCCTGAGATTTGCCTTCTCACTAAAGCTTTTTTCGGATTGATGAAGTTCATAAAGTTTTGTTCCACTGACTCTCTGATGTGCAGTTTGCTGTTTTTTCTGATGGAAAATTTTCTCACATTGTCTACATCTGTAGGATCTGACTCCAGCATGTATTATCTGGTTTTTGTGGTATGATTTCTTAATGAAGGTTTTCTCACAATCACTACACTTGTAATATTTCTGTACTTTGTGTGTTTTCTTATGTGTAATGAGCTTCAACTTTGAACAGAATGTTTTCTTACAAATACTACATTCAAAAGTTCCTGCTCTTCTCCAAGTCATCTCTACCTCATCAGATGCCTTCCCAGACTCACCAGATTTGCTGGAACTATGAGCAATGTGAAACCTCTTATTTGTCCAGAATGCCTTTGTGTTGTAGGTTGCTTCTTGCCTGCAACACTGAATATGCTGTCGAGTACTTGGAGCTCTGTTATACAGTCTATGATGCTGTGCGCGTAAGGGGGTCCTGCTTACAGAGCCATCAAGTTCCTTTCGAGTCTGCATGTTACCAGGCTCGTTAGGGGGAAGCACATTCTGCCATACATTAGGTGTTGCAGGCCTCATTCCTGAAGAATTACCATTCTTTACAGTCAGATTTGAAACATGGTTTGAGCTCACATTAAATATTTTTCCTAATTTAACATTCTTCTCAGTTGACATGTTGCTGTTGGCAATTACATGGTCCCACAAATGTCTCTCTTGATTGTCCTGGCTGGTTTCATCCAGTTCATTTACTTTCTGGACATCTAAAAGAAAACAGGAATAGCCAAGCTCATATTACAGCAGAAAGATGAGGAATTGACTTCTCATTCTCAGTACATTATGATTTCAAAATAATATTGATATGACATATACAGAACCTATACATTAGACTTTACAATGTAAAATCACATCACCTCATTGATTTAAAATGTTTTATTCATTTGAAACACAAGATAGTTAAATGTTCACCTAATTCTAGCCCTCCAATTCCTAATGGAAATTTATTTTATGCTCCCTAGACTATAACAGGGTCAGGAAGTTCCAGGCTACCTCGATGTTGGACTAAGGGATTTCATTCAGGAAACAGTCATGCCCATCATTCTTTGAAATGTTTTTATGGATATTTTTGAGATTCATAGAACTGACATTCTTCACTCAGAGTAAGGTGCATGTACCCCCGCTTTGAAGCTCTTTGCTTCTGGAAGCTTCTATTTTGTATTATAATTGGAGCCTTCTACATAAGTCTATTGTTTTCCCCAAGAGAGACTGCTGATGAGAGATGGACACACCCACACAGAAGTCTCGGCCCTTCACCATGAAATCCTTGCTCCACTAAAGTCTCTTCATATCTAAGACCTACTTGTCCTGTCAAGCCTAGGTTTTCCCTTTCCATGCTGGATTTGGTTGTGCTGAATGTCCCTCACTTTCATAGATTCTCATTCTGTGGGACAGGAGACTAGATTCTCGGCTTCTTTTTCTGTTCTCATCAATCACCTTGGTTAATGCTTGAATAACTACAATATAAATATGTATATTAAGCTACCCAATGGACATAACCACTCTCAAGTCTATATTTTATGCCCACCTATGTATTACGTATATCAAATTTGTAAGAAAAAAAGTAATATTAATATTAAATGAATAACAATAGCCTTTAAATTCCTTCCCTTTAGACTTCTCCTGAAATAAAATGGTGTATAGTTTTATTTCTTAGATTGTGATAAAACATTCTTTATAACTCTTATCTTACAACCAAATATTTTATGTTTATTTTTTTCAACAAAATGTAAGCTTTTCATGTGTAAATGCATGTTTTATTGTTACTTACTTACATGTCTAATTATAAAAGTGCAATGTTTAGGAGCTAACCAAATACCATGTGATAAAAGAATGAACACAGCCAAAAATGCTTGAGGTAGAAAACACTGATAACTGGGAACTTAGAGAAAGCAGCTAACCAACTAACCAAAATTATCTAGGAAGCTCCATACAGCTACAAAAATTTGTGAACTCAAGAAAATATATAACAAAATAAAAGAGAGAGAAGAGGGTCATGTGAGAGTTCCCCTTGGATAATGTACACAGGAAACACCTGATTACCAGTGCCATCAGTGAAAAGAGCTCAACATGGCCAGTGGCTATTAGATCTGGTCATTCTGGTCTCTTTGTCCAGGGTGTATTCACTGACCTGGCCGACTCTGCTCTGGAACTTCTTCTACTCTCCACGGTCCAGTTCCTTGTTCTAACTTAAAGATCACCTCAGGTTTGGTAATGCAGTAACCTGATAATGGGAAATATTATAAGATTTTACCACATGCTAAGTCAAGTACACTGCAGAAAGATACCACCTTTGGGAAGTGAGTGATTTCTAGGCAGATCTGCACAGTTTGTGAGTGGACCCTCATATTCTTGCCTTAAGTAAGTAATGTTAAATGGCTTGAGGAAGAAAGTAAAGATGGGACAAAGGAAGCAAAGAGAGCAAAGAACGCAGCTCTGTTCTGTGATCTCAAATGCCAGAGAGACTAAGAAAGGAGGAATACTACAGTTCAAAGTCTGTCACAGCAACTTAAGACCCTGTCTCAAAATAAAAAATAAAAAGGGTGCCGGGGATACAGTGCAGTGACAGACTTGCCCAGTATATATAAATCTCTACATTAATCTACAGTACTAAAAACAAATAGGAAAGGGAAATCTAAAAATGGATTTTAAGACTACTTAAAGAGACACAATACAGTTAATTAAAAAAAAGGAAGGAACAAAGGAAGGTCCTCCTAAGATCCATACAGAGGAAGAAGAGCACCAAGTCTACCAAGCTGTCCTCTGGTCGCTAGATGCATGGCATGGCATGTGTGTATGCACTTAATAAAAAAGTTTAAGCAATCTGAATTTTGGAGCTAAGACTCAACAAAAACTTAAGGAAAACAAAAGGGTGGGAGCCTCCACAGCAGAACTGATTCAGGTGTAGAATAATGTGGTCAGATTTCGTTTTGTTCCCTTTTTTGTGACAGGGTGTCACTATGTAGTTCTGACTGTCTTGGAGATCAGGCTAGCCTCAAACTAAGAGATCCATCTGCCTCTGAATCCTAAGTACTAGGATTAAAGACATGTTTCATATTTTAAAACAGAAAAAGAAAATAATTGCATTCATTTATATGTTATTTGTATGAATGTTTTGCTGCACATATGTCTATGAACCATGTTCATTAAGTGACTGTAGGTTCAAGGAGAGAAGGCTGGAGCTTCTGGGACTGGAGTTACAGACAGCTGTTGAGTGGTCATACGAGTATTTGAACCCAGGTCCTCTGGAAGAGCAGGCAGTACACTTAACTGCTGAGCCATCCCCCCAAAAAAAACAAAACAAAATTACAGTGGAGTTCAAGACAGTTTTTCTGTGTAGCCCTGGATGTCCTGTAAGTAGCTCTAGAGACAAGACTGACCTCAAAGTCATACAGATCCTCCTGCCTCTACCTCCTGAGTGCTAGGATTAAAGGCATGTGCTACCATGCCCAGCACTTATAACTATAAATTTTGCTACTGTTACAAATCATAATATAAATATCTGTGTTTTATGATGGTCTGAGGTGACCCTTGTGAAAGGATCATTCAAATCCCAAATGGGTTGAGACTCACAGGTTGAGAACCATTGCTCTAGAGAAGCTTTCCTAATACACAGCCCTATGGGAAACACTTAAGAGATGTTACACAGTAAGTGAAAGGATAATAACCACCATTATTAAAAAACACATGAACATATAAAATTAAGCAATATAGTGGATACACAAAAGAAAAAGATGAAAGTGTATCAATACAGAAACCATTAAAAATAAAAAATTAACAGTGAGAAAAAAAAGAATGCAAAAAAGAGCTACCAAAAATGTCAGAAATATGTCCTCACTTATCAAAAGAATCCTCAAGTGTAAATAAGAAAAATATAAACTATTTGAACAGATGAAAATAGCAGACTCAGTATACTCTTGTATACGGAAAGATATTAGATCCCCTATATCTTACCATATTCAGAAACCAAATTAAAATATAACTAAAACATAAATGCAAGATCTGACAGTGCTGAAATAAAATACAGAAAGCTAAATATTGATTCAAAGATTTTATTTCCTTTTTGAGATTAACCTTCCTACATTACCAGGTTGGTCTGGAAGTTCTAGGCCCAAGTAATGCTTCCTCCTCAATTTCAAGGGTGCAGGAAACACAGACATGCACAATCATACCCGGCACAAAGATTGTGACATGACCTCAAACCACGGTCATCAACAGCGAAAACTGACAACTGGGATTGCATAGATGTAAATCCTCTATACAGAAAAGCAAATGATAGAGCAGAGTGGTAACAGACACAATGAAAGAAAAAGTCTGAAATTGTACAAGAGGATAATTTCTGGAATACATAAGGAATTTAACAGCAGAAAAATAATTTAATTAAAAACTGAACAAGACAACTTGAATAGGTATTTCCCCAAAGGCATACAAACAATTCACAAACTCATCAATAAATGGTCAATATCTGTAAACATCAGAAAATGCTAATCAAAATCACAGTGAAATATCAAAACACCTGCAGCTAGAATACTATCAAAACCACAAACAACAAATACTGATGAGGACACATAGAAAGACACATTATTCTACATTGTTTCTGGGATTATAAAATTATTACTATGAAAAACAGTATGAAAGTCCCTCAAAAAATAGAAATAGAACTATCTTTATAACGTAGCTATAACTAAATATTTTAAAAGAAAATGAAATCAGTATTTTGAAAGATCATGAGTTCAAGGTAATGGGCTACATGAGATCTTGCCTTTTAAAAGGGTATTTATGTATAAGGGAATATTATTCACTAAGAAACCCCAAAATTATCTCAAGCAAGAACTGATGAATGTTTTTGCTTAGTTATGGAATGATGTGGTTGGGCACAAAAAGATAAACACTTGTTTATAAGTGGAAGACAAAGTTTCACTCGGAGAAACAGAGGAAGGGTGGTTAGCATGGCCTAGAAGAGTATGTCAAGGAGGGACAGAGTGAAGATGGCTAATGCATTCAGGGGTACAACCTGGATAGCCAGTATGGCACAGAAGCATGACCAGAGTTGAAAATGATTAAATGCTTCAGAATAGCTAACAGAGAATTTAAATGTTCCCAATATAAACATGTGCTAGGTCTGCATAGACCTACCAATTTCTGGAGGTAGGTCTATACATACATATAATATTATGTGTGTGAGAGTACAAACAAATTTCAGACATGATTACTGTTCTTACTAAGAAAGGAAGTGCTTCTTATACTACTGGGTACTTTTACTCACCCAAGGACTCCAGAATCCTGTAGGTCTCCAGCATCACGTCCCTGTAGAGCTTCCTCTGAGCATCATCCAGGTCCTGCCACTCCTCCCAGGTGAAGTCCACATAGACATCCTCAAAGGACACCAACCCCTGTAATCAAACACTTCTCCTCAACTCAAGCTTTTGGGCCTATCAGAAGACAGGAATGCGGGAGTTTGGTGTCTCACACGGGCTGCATATTAGTTTATATTCTCTATCACGGGAGGGAAAATCACTAACCTTGCTTCTGTACTAAGTTAGTAACTGAAAAGACGACTACTAGAGAATTCCCATTCCTAACAAAAATGGATGGATTATGTGCTGTAAAACATTCACAAGGCCTTGGATTCAATCTGCAGTAACAGACACACACACAGACACACATACAGACACACACAGAGACACACAACAGGCATACACACAGACACGCACAGACACAGACACACACAGACACACAACAGGCATACACACAGACACGCACACAGAGACGCACAGACACAGACACACAACAGACACAGAGACACACACAAACAAACACAAGAGACTATTTCTTTCTCTCTCTTTTAGAAAAAGAAAAAAAGAAAGAAACCTTGTCCACAGTTGGCCTGATAATCTAGTCTGAGTGAGGACGGCACACCCACACCCTTGAAATGATGTTAAACAAAGACACATGTCACTGCAGAACAGGTAATGATGACTCTAAGCATCCTGCAGGTTATGCTTCATGGATAGCATAGTGAGTTCTCTCTCGGGAGTAACAAACCACAGAGGTCACATTGTAAAAGCACCATGGATGGTTAATGGGCCTATAAGTAGAACCACAAAGGTGATTCCTGGGCAGTGGTGAGTTATAAAGTTATATGTTCGGGTGACTGACGACCAGGGATTTTGCTTTTCAAAACCATCTAATTCCAACAACTTGAGTACATTTATAGTAGTCCTTATATCGGCCTCTTAAATCTAAGATCAGCGTTTTGAAAGCCAACTCAGGGAAGGTAGACAAGGAAGGATGCAAATGAAGAACTGGAATAGGTGTGGTTTTGTCAGAGGAAGTAAGTCATTATGGGGGTCGGCTTTGAGGTCTTGTATGCTCAAACTATGCTCAGTGTGATAATCAATTCACTTCCTGTTGCCTGCAGATCAGGATGTAGAACCCTTAGCTCCTTCTCCAGCACCATGTCTGCCTGCTGCACGCTGTCATACCCCCCCCACCATGATGATGATGGACTAAACCTCTGAAAATGTAAAGCCACTCCAGTTAAATGTTTTCCTTTATAAGAGTTGCCATTGTTGGGCTGGAGAGATGGCTCAGAGGTTCTGAGTTCAATTCCCAGCAACCACATGGTGGCTCCCAACCATCTGTAATAAAGATCTGGTGCCCTCTTCTGGCCTGCAGAGACACATGCAAGCAGAATGCCATATACATAATTAATTAATAAATCTTAAAAAACAAGAAGAGTTGTCATTGTCATGGTGTCTCTTCACAGCAAACGATACCCTAAGACAGGACCTAGCAATCAAAAGACAGTCTTAGCAGGAAAAGTAAGATTCACTAACAGAAGAACCTCAGTCAGACAGACAACAAAGTGAATGAAATGGCTTCTGAAGGACCCAAGAGGCTGTAAAAAAAGGAAGTAAGAACAGAATTTGTAGAAACACTAACATTCAGTGACAGGACCACAGGAACTGAGAAACACTCTTAAATACTTCTTCTAGGACTAAAGAAAAGCTCAATATTAATACATTAATGTATTTCACTGAATTCACAGTTCCACTGGTGGGAGTGTATAATCTTGTGATCATTTTCAAAGACATGGAAAGGGCATTTTTTATTATTTATTTTATGCAGATGGGTGTTTTGCCTTCCTCCCTCCCTCTCTCCCACCCCCCCCCCCCCCCCAAGTGTGTGTGTGTGTGTGTACCATGTGCATGCAGTGCTCAGAGAGGCCAGAAGGTCTTGCATACCCTAGAAATGGAGTTACAGATGGTTGTTAGCTGCCATGTGGATGCTGGGAATTGAACCTAGGTCCTATGGGAAAGTAGTCTGAACTCTTAACCGCTGAGCCAATTTTAAAAGCAGGAGCCCTTTGTAAAGTTCTTAGCCAAAAAAAAAAAAAAAAATTAGAACAGTCTTTCTTCTCGTGATAAAAATATATGTCTCTTAACCTAAGAGGCAGCATGACAGCTGAGGGGAAAGGGAATGATAAGCATGCCCGTCTTTCCAGGCAAGCTTTGGTAGGCTTGTAATCCCAGCATTTGGGAGGCAAAGGCAGGAGGATCCATGTCTACATAGCATGACCCTGTCTACAAAACTCAAACATCAACACACAGACCCACCTCATCAGCACCAGCACTGTATAAGACATGCCAACTAAGTTCAATGCAAAGGGGAAATGTGGGTTATGATTTCCTTATCATTTAGAAGTAAAAATACCTGATAATCTCCTTTAAAGTATTTTCTCAGTTCTGCAGGACCAAAACCAGCTGATTCAGTTTCCACCGAGGCCTTTCCAGGCTTATAAAGGCAACTTCCTTGAGGTGTCCTTACACAGTGCAGTGAGGAAGGCCTCTCCGTCTTCTATAATATTAGGGACTAGCACTATTTTAACCGCAGCTAACTCCAAAATATCATATCTCCAGATAAAGTAACACTTGGTTTTAGAGGTCAGCCTCACCATATAAAAACATCCACAGCATTTGCCACTCCTGATGCTGATGAAAAATCAAATGCCACCTTGTGGTCACTCCAATACCAGGTGTATAATCCCCACTTAGCTTGGCTAACCAAACAGTATAGTCCATGTAGGCCAGAGGACAACCTCAGATATAGTTCCTCAGAGCCACCTTCTCTCACACTGTAGAATCCCTAGCCTCCTTCCTTAGAGCCCTGGGTCCCCAGGTCCCCCCTTTAAATACCCATTAGTATAGTATGTATGGGGTCCTTTAAATAAAGACAATGGGCAGGGTAGGGCGAGAGGAATCGGTACCTGGTGTTACATTTTTAGGATGCCCTCTCTGTGGAAGTCATTCTTCTATCCATAACAAGGAGACAGTAACACACATTTGAGTGTGCAGGCCTCATCCTGAGCAAATCTGTAATGACGTAAAGGACAGAAACGCAATCCCTACCTCCTTCTATGAAAGCACAGGCCCTAGCGCCAAGGGAGCAGGTGGAAAGGTGACAGCCAGTGACCCCAAAACAAACCACACAGTGTAGTTTTCAGTGATCAAGATCTCACATCTTTCGAGAAAGTTATTTTGAATGTTTTGCTTTTGGTATCCTTCACTGGAATTGCTCAGCTTCATCCTCGGACTGTTCTTTGTGTAGAGAAACAGCTAGTTTTATTTTTGACCTTTGTTACTTTGCTCAACCTTTTCATGTGTCATATTTTTAATGAACACAGTGTCACCTCATCTCCAAATGATTATGTCCTTCATCCTCCAATTTACATGACTCTCAATCATTACTGCGGCCACAGGTCCTGGAGAGCACCTCTAGGGCAGTGATAAGAGAGCTACCGAGAATGGATATGTCTTATTTCTCTTCATTGATTCATTAAGTATGACATTACTTACAAGCAAAATGTAATCTTATGTCCCTACACTGTTGTAGCCTCTCGTCTCAAAAGGCGGATTTTCTCCCGTTGGTTTTCTGCATTTATTGAAAGGTCACATGACTTTATAATTTATTTAATTTGGTGTATGTGCATGCTTGTGCTACAGAGCACATGTGGAGGAGGTCTTATGGAATTTGGTTCTTTCCTTTCACTTTGGGGGTCCTAGAGAGCCATCTGAGTACCTTCACCCACTGATCCATCTTGGTGGTGCTCTTGTGGATTTTCAATTGTTGATTGCTATGGCATATTACAATAAATCACGTTTGGCAAAAGAGCATATTGTGTGTATATATATTTATTCTCATGCTACTGTTTCTAAATGAAGAAATAAAGACGATAACACACACGTCTATTACCGTCTATGGTTACTTAGTTACCTTCACTGGCGCCTTGTGCTTCCTTGCTCTGCACCGCTGGGACCATCTGCAGTGACTGTAAGACACTGACCTCTTGTAGCTTCTCTTCTGCCTTCCAGTGTCAAGAGTTTGATTGTCCTGCTGCACGTTCCTCTGTAAAACCTGTAATACAGTGTGGAGGATGCCACAGGAGTGACCGGGAGCCACATTTCAGTGCAACGACACATGAACTAAAGCATGATTCAGCAGAATGGCCCTCAGGCTCCCATGAAGGCGTCACACTATTGTCTTGTGAGCTTGGCCCTGAGCACCAGTCAAACCCTTTGTTAAAGCTGTCAAAAAAGCAAATGTTGAAAAATGCCTCAAAAGCATAGCAAAATTATTAGACACTATGGCAGCAACACAAGTATTATTAGCACAGGTTTTGCTATAGTGTGTAGAAAAACCTTTTAAGTTTCTGCCCTGCAGGTCACATTGTCTTAAGAAGACACTTTCAATAATATCAACTTAAAACTTTCAAGTTCCGTGGAAAATAAATTATAGCTACGGAACAGCCAAAGATGCAGGAATTCTGAATTATTTAACTGTTCTAGTTGAGCTCTTACAAAGTTAGCGGAAATGGGGCTTTTAAATGGAGCGTGAAATGTTTCTAAGCATGTGAAGACGTGCATAGATTCATTGACGACCATGGCCACTCTCGTGACAAACTTCCTAGGGCTCTGTCCCGACCCCTACTTTTCAGCACCACCCAATAAAACATAGCAGTCTATGGATTCATCGAGGGATTAATCTATTCATGAGGCCAGAGCCACTGGAATGCCACCTCTGGAAAGGGCCTCGCACAGCCAGCCAGAGGTGTGTTTTTACTAATGTAGGACCAGTCAGTCCAACCAAGATGACAATCAAGATTACCAAGCACACATCACGAAGTTACAAAGATGGAGTATGGTGCACACAGATCCATCGGGCTGGTACATTGGGAGCAGAAACATAATCACAGCAAAGGACTCGAATTCGGTGTGGAATTCCTGCCAGCCCAATAAGAGCCTTCGGGATGCAGGGGACCGCGGCAGCCCGGGCTCAGCCCACACTTCGGGCTGCTCTAGCGTCCAGGGCTGTCACTGCTAGACAAGGGAACGCCAGACACAGCAGCTGTGGCCCCGGGGTCTGGACCAAGAGGAGAAGGGTGCGGCTGAGGACAAGTCTCCCTGGAGGCTCAGCCCACCGGGGGCGACAGAAGCCGTGAGCACAGCCCCGCGCAGGCCTCGGGGAGCCAAACCGTCCGCGCACAGCACAGCGGAGGGGACGAGGACCTGCCCCGGCCGCTTCCCGCGGGCAGCACTCACCATGGCGGCCCCCGTCCGCCTCCCTCAGTGGACAGGCCCGAGGCGCCGGCACTGCCCAGCTCAGCTGACGGACCAGGCGCTAAGATGGCGCGAGACAAAGACCCGCGAACTAGCGAACCCGCGAAGGCCCGCCCCCGCGCCCGGGATGCGTGCCTGATTGGATCGAACTTCAGCTCCCACCCCCTCCTCGCGCCCTGAGTGACCGCAGATGGCACCAATCAGTGGCTGACTAAGACAGCCTACCTGAATAGAGACCTCTACGAGTGGTTTTTGTTTGTTTTGCGTTTTGTTTTTCCGAGACAAGGTCTTGCTGTGCAAACCGCGCTGGCCTCGAACTCGTGACATTCCTTCTGCCTCAGCCCTAAAATGCTGAGATTATAGGAGCTGACCACTATGCTCCCCTTATCTGCAACTGTCTGAAGATAAAGCTCACTCCGGGTGGATTGGGGTTTGATCTTGTTCCTAAAGTCACATGAATGGTGAATTAAATGTAGAAACGTGTTGTTCACAAATATAAAGAAAGACGATCATTTTTAAATTTCCAGCAACTTTTTCTTTGATCTTTATTTCTTTGGTTTTGGTCCCAGATCTTAGAACAGAGAAGCTGACAAATCTAACAAGCCATCTGTGAAAGAGGATGTCAAGTACAAATAAAATATGAGGCACAGTGTCATTTAAAAATTCTTGACAGAGCCGGGAGGTGGTGGCGCACGCCTTTAATCCCAGCACTCGGGAGGCAGAGGCAGGCGGATCTCTGTGAGTTCAAGACCAGCCTGGTCTACCAGAGCTAGTTCCAGGACAGGCATCAAAGCTACAGAGAAACCTTGTCTGGGGGAGAGGGGGAGTCCTGACGGGTCTAACGGGATAATCACCTGACTGACACAACCCTGTAGTGGCTACAAAAATGCTGGAAGCCAGGGCCTTTGGCGCTGTGCCGGCAGAGATGAAGCTGCCCAAGAGCGGGGGGACCATTGTCAGAGGACCCTGGAGAGAAGAGAGTTCAGACACCCACTCCTTACCCCCACCCCCACCCCGCCGCTCCGGACCCACGGAGCAAAGCTGCTGCAGGTGGAAAAGGCGAGTGCCTAATGGAACTTAGAGCAAATTAAGCATCTTTCTGGCTCTGGCTCCAGAAAAAAAAAAAAAAAAAAAAAAAAAAAAAAAAAAAAAAAAAAAAAAAAAAAAAAAAGGACAAACAGATGTACTGACACATTATCTCCTGCAGAGGGCGCCAAGAGCTAGAAATCCATTCCACTGGGCAAAAAGCTAGACTTCTAGTTTCTGTTTTTTAATTTTTTAAATTTCATCCAGAGAGAGTGGTGTGTGCCACTTTTCACTTCGCGTCCTTTTTTCTTTTTTCTTATTTTTTTTCATTTTCGTTGACGCTAAATTCACATAGCATAAACCAAACCACTTTGGCACTTAAGACATCCATGCTGTATTCCAACTAGCACCTATAGCTAATCTGAAAATGGTTTTAGTGCCTTAAAATAGAATTCAGAAACCATTACATAATCCCACACACCTTTTCGTCCCCCCTTACCTTATCAAACCATTTAGCTGAATTCCTACTGGATGCAGTGTTTTATGGCCTTGAACTTACTTAACCTCCACATTTGAGGCAAGTGGCTGGGTGTCTCAAGATCTTAGGGTCCCAGCTGGAGCCTCTGGGTCACGCATCCTCGGTAAGATGAGCCTTGTTGCCTGGCTAGCACAGCTCATGTTTTCACGCAGTACCTCCTCTGTTTGCACCTAAAACCACGTGTTTTCCAGAGGGTTTTCCAAGGAGGTGTGTCAGGAAGGATTTGGTGCTGGACTTTCTCAATAGCCCCGGGCCTAGAGTGCCTAAGTGTCCCTCACCATCTGCTGGATTAAAGGGAGCGGTCCTTTCTGCACAGGGCAAGTGGCCCAGGCTGGCAGCTAGCACTTTTCTTGCCTTACGCTCGCAAGGCAATCAAACCTTTATTTAAGTCAATAAGAAAGAAGAGTTGGACAAATAGAGCCTGGCCCAGTACCTCGCTCAAGAGACAAGGGTAAGGTGTGAGTACCTGAGCGGCCAGGACCGTACCGTGATGGGGGACAGGGAAGGGATGAGGGAGGGTTTGGCTGGGTCTCTGGATAGGAGTCTCTACTGCCAAGGCCAGAATCAGGCTACTTTCAACGTCAACATCACAATGTCCGCAAAGGCAGTGGAGCCAGTGTGGCTGCTCCGCAGGTCTCAGTAACCAGAGAATTTTATCTGAATTCCCCAGCACCTACAACTGGCTGGGATCCCAGCACTGACATCGGTGTCCTCCCCTTGGGCTCCTGATGGCCCCAACCTGGCCCAGCTGCCACCCTCCACCTGGCCACCTCCCCCCATCTCCATGCCTCCCCTTATCCCCTGTTAGCAGTGCCTTTATCTTCAGTGCTCAGCACAGCTGGCCGTGCCCCTTAGGAAGATTCTTTTTCCTCTGATGCAATTTCCCTAAAGGTAAGAGCTGGTCATTTTCCGACGGCAGTAACGGGACTCAACAGAAGCTGGTACGCTTGTCTATTCTTCCATTTCTAGGCTCCCCTCTCCTGTCACCACTGGGAGACAGACACCTAGGCTCATTTGGACTGTGCCCTGTCTGGAGTTTTCAGGGAAGCAAACTAATTCCCTCAAAATCCTCAGAAGCCACCCTGGAAAGCAGGCAGCAGGGTCAGAGGTAGGTGAGTGTTTTCTTCTTTAATGGCGCTCCTCAGTGTCTTAGTCAGGACCTCTCTCTATACAGTGGGCAGGGAGACACCATGGCTGTCCGAGTATGCAAAACAGACAAGAGCTCTTGGCAACGTGGCATACCAGATATGAAGGGCAAGCTAAGGCTGTGCCAGGAAGGATCTCTTGGGCTGGTCGCTCTGTTCCCAAAAGTTACTCTCTAAACAGATTATACTAACTACCCTAAATTACTGAGTTCTGAGGGGTGCCCATCCCTGCCAAGGAAGGAACTGGGCCCTCTACTCCCAGCCGGAGAAGTTCTTTCAGGGTGATTGAGCAATTGAGGTTGTTACAGGGTCCTGATGACCTGAGATTCCCTGTTGGAGCTGGTTTTTCTCCATGTGCCCACAAAGGGCAGGAGCTCGGGTAAAACCCCTCCCGCAAGAGTAGGTGGTAAACTGCACATATAGGGCCATCTGCGCAATTCTGCAGATGGCGTCTGTGGGAAACGACACTGTTTCTACGACTAAGAACTCAGGTGGCGTGTGAATAAGCCGCTTTCCCTCCTAAGCTGTTTTTCCTTTCTCCTGTTAAACTCCTAGCTTCTCTTTCACCGTGGCTAAGGTGTCCCCAGTAGGGATGGCAAGGCCGCACCATGGAGATGCAACTCTGTCAAGCTTCTTGGTCACCTTCATCTTCCTGCAGCTCCTGCCTGCTGGGAACGGTAGGACAACAGCCCCTTCCTGACCCTAGGGGTGCCCAGGGTCAAACTGAGGTCTCCAACGGAAGCTCAGGACTAACGGTGCCCCATACCCTCAAAGAGGAAATGGGTATAGGGGGAGTACCTGTCTCCTGCCTGTGACTTAACCTAGCCCTTCTATTTGCATCTCTAAGGGAAATCAGATTTCCGTGTCCTTGGACCTCCTGAGCCACTTCTGGCCGTAGTTGGGCAAGACAAAGAGT